GACATTATTGCAGTCTTGGTTGATCTAGTAGAACAAATCAACTGATGTCCTGGACGATTTGGAAAACCTATAATTTCCGGTATAGGTACATAGTAATAAGTCGTACATGATTCACAAAGTCACATATATACGATTCGAATATGATTTGACACCGAAAAGTGCTAGGTTCGTATTAGAAATAAAAAAAAAATTGAAAATGTCTCACCATTGGACAGAACCCAAGGAATACCCGTGTAAATACACAACCGCGACGTGACCAACAAGTGTGACTTACGAATCTCTGATAATTTCTCGATTGTGTGCAGGGTGTTTGGTTTGAATCGGAAATAAATTGAGAAAACTAGAGCCAAATCAACTACAACGTTAAGGACACCAAAATACGTAAGATACGCAAAGGTTAACTTTCAAGAAAATTTTCATTTCAAATGAAAATGCATTAATTATTTTTAAATAATGTTTCATCAAATCTAGGCCGGTATTATTCAATAGAATCTCATAATGTAAGGGTGTTTTATTATGTTCACTAATTACTCAGAATTTATACTTTACATAAATAACTGAAGATGATACAATGCTATTAAAAAAAATCAATAGTTACAAAAGGCGCAGCTACAAAGCAAGTCCATGCTAGAGACGACTGAGTTCGATTCCCGTCCGGTCTATTAATTTTTCGGGTTGGAAAATTTCTCTACTTTCCTGGGCATAGGATGGTACAGGCATAGAAAGCTCTCAATTAAAATGTGAAAGTACTTCAAAGAACACTAAGTTGAGAGCAGGCAAAAATCTAGTGTGCTATAAGCACTAAGCTTGTAATGCTATTTTTCGGCAATGAAAACAGTTTTTGTTGTTGTCGCGGATTAGTACTTGAAGTCGCGGATTTCTTTTGAGAAATCGCGGATTTCGCGGATCAAATTTAGAAAATCTTGTAACAGCCCTGCAAATAAACAATACATACTTTTGGTTGCATCGCCAACTTGAGCTGAATCCTAACCGAATACCCTACCCAACCCTCCCACTCCGTAGCACTTATGAGGGTGTCGCTAAGTCGGTGGCCTCTCGTTAAGTAAGTACTACATCAACATTTCCTTCCCTATCCCTAGTTATGGTAAAGATGGGCGTGGCCGGGAATAGCGACAGTCATGCTTCTGTTACTCTTGTTTAGATTGGAACCAATGTTTACTCCCCAGCATTATTCCTGAAAGTAGTCTAACTGAGAATTTGAGGAGAAACGTGACTGTCGCAAGTATCCAATCTACGAAGTATATCATAACAACGATAACGCTACAATAAGAAGTTTTAAGAAATTCGGGAAAAATGCGGGAAAACCCAAATCAAGTATCAAGAAGTCCACAAAATTACATAATCTCTATTTTTTTCTCTCACTCGCAAACTGTTCTCGCACATTACAGAGTAAATGCTTCCAATTTATTGTGGTGTGACTATATTAAAAAAAAACAAAGATCGCAACTGCAGGTATTTTTGAAAACCTAATAAACCAAACCAATGATGTTATCGGGTTTCACGAAGGTTTCATTCTATCATTAAGTCGAATCATCGTATACCTTGTTGAGCCTGCAGAACTTCAAGATCAGATATCCGGTCTGCGTGGGCATCGAACAAGATTTCGATTAACCTGTAACATGTCTCCTGGACTATTTGGAGAATGATAAAGATTTCGGTAACACCTCTTTGTATTCCACAAACTGTTATTTGGCTTATAGAACATCAAGATCTAAAGTCCTGGAAGATTTGAAGAACTTTTAATACTGCGCTTCTCCTGCTCAGGTCTCTTGTATTGATATATGTTTTTTTTTGCCGTCATACCAAATCAAGATTTTTGCTCATTTTTTGCGGTGAGACTTTTTGATTGTATACGGTTTCATGATTCCATGAGATTCTAGATCAATAACATGTTAATGTAAATCTCATCTCATATTATTTTCTGCAAAGCAGACGCTATTCTGCTTAAAAATATACATATGATTATCTATAAACGGTTATTTTTGAACGTTGATGTTTGGGTTGAGTTTATTATTAAATAACCGAAAAAAAACAAGAACTGAAAAATGGAATGTGAACACATAAATCCTGCCAATTTAGCTTTCAAATAGTCACAAGCAGCGATTTTTTGATCGCTGTTATTGCGACTCTCATAAAATTGGCAGGTATTATGTGTCAAACATAAACTTTACAACCTCTTCTTGCTACTTACAAATATGTAGAAAATATGATTCCATAATGACACGTAGACACTTTGTTCAAAGAGATAAGTTTAGCTTTATTATAGAGACTTTCAGCACCTGGCTGGTTCGTCTCTTTGGGAAAAGAGGGTGGGAGCTCCTGAAGGAAGCCCCCTAGTTACAGAGTTTTGAAGTATGTAGGTTCCAAAAGGGAGATTAAATTCCATATTTCAAGATCCTTAGTAATGTACTTTCTGTTAGGGTTGTTCTGCAGTTAACGACTTTCTAGATGGTGGAACAAACAATTCTGCCCAACAAAGAATGTTAGTGTTCACGTGAACTTCCCGTAGATGCCATATCTTAAGATACTAGCCAGGGTAGAAGTTTGTTATCTTGTAGATAGTGGCTTAGTTCGAAATTTCGTCATTAGATGGTGGCCATAACAAGGGTTTACTACCCTCAACAAAGTTGTTAAAACCTTTAAGATGGACTAATTTAAACTCTTTGTATTTTTCGAACCGCCCTAATATTTACAGTTGCGTATCATACGATCCAGTACAAATACAATTTAAACAGCTCTACTCCATTCCTCTCAATGAAATCGTAGTCGGAACAAGTATCAACCATCGAAAGCAACCTATCCCCAAAACCGTCCGGCCATCGTATCGTCGAGAGCGGCCGCCATCTTCGTCCATGTTCCATTCGCCGGGCCAGGCCAGTTAGGAGGGAGAAAAAGAAAGACCTCATTTTCTCTTCGGGTGAGATTTTTGCGCTGCCATACGTCCACGGTAACGGTGGCATTTGTTGACATCAATCACTTTTCAGCACCCCAGGGCTGGATGCATTCTTCCACCACCATGATTCCTCTAAGCTAGTTAGCATCAACTCTTTTGATGACAGCAAATGCCATTACCACCCAGTCAACAATTAGCCCTTTGACCTTAGCGTACCTCTTCTGTGCCGCCATCTGCGAACGCAGTCACGAACAACGCCGACGATGACGGTCGTACGGCTTCCATACCGACAAACCGGCACTGACAGTAGATAGGTACGTGATTCAGTTCCAGCGAGGGATGGGGCAGTTCAAGGGGGGAAGACAAGCACAAGACTACCCCACGATGATGATGGTGATGAGCCTCAAGTGTGCGGAACCAGCAAGAGAAGAATCCGAGAATTGAGTCGGTGGTTTCGACGACGACGGCGACGTCTTCTCCTCTTCCTGCTGCACGTGCTGGAGCACGTTACCAAGCAGATACTAACGCACAGTGAGGCGACTGCTAGCAAAACCTGGTAAAAATTCTGAAATACAGTGAAAATTACCAACAAGGGTTTCTTTCGATCAATTGCAAGACTAAGAACCAGTTTTAGCCAAATTGGCTAAATTCCGAAATGGTACCAGAAATGATTTAACATTGATGGTTAAGTAAACTGATAAAAAAGCTTTCTATTAAATTGTATCGATCGAAAATAAGGCGAAAACGCCTGCACACATTATTAATTTTGTGTTTTTTATATGATGTACAATGATAACAAAAATAAAAGCTTAAAATTTTAAACACGTCTTTGATAAATGTATCTAGGCCAGCATTTTTGGGATTTGTGTACTTTGGAATTCTACCAAAAATACATTTCCCACCGATTGGGCTAACAACTTGAATTTCACAATAGCATTTAATGAAGATTATGGGAAAAATATCAAAAGACCCGAAAAACTTGATTTTTTTTTTCAATTATGTCCACTCTTGCCCCCATTGCACTGTGCCGACGGACGGAGCGATACGGTCGATCATGGCAGCAGCAAAAAGACGACGCAAACGCGACATGAAAGCTGAAAACCCCCGAAAGAATTTGTAATACAGCGAGAAAATCATCATAATCTGCACTCTTGGAATTCCTCCTGTTCCGTTCCGTTCTCGTTCTGTGATCTGCGTGTGTGTGCCCGTGGTTTTTTTTTCGATAGGGTTGGAGCGTCAGGGGTGCGGTGCTCGATTTGCTCTTTAAATTGGATGGTCGATATACCTATAGCTATGCAGGTAGGTTGCCGCCGAAGAAGAAGTCTCACGTCGTAAATTTTACACTCGCACTTCTGTCGTTGTCGTCGGGATATGACCTTCCGCATCTAGTGTTTGCCAACACAAGTGCGGTTATGAGATTTTACACATCTTTCGTGTTGAAGTGTGTATACTTACTACTCAGATGGGAATTGATCTCGTGTGAGTCGTTCTTCTTTACGATTTCCGGAAGGAAGATTCATTGAATCAATGGTGCTCTTGACTTCTCATTTTTTCTTTTCTATATGTTCAATGTCGCTTATGTTCAACTGGTATCTATTTCCAACTCCACTTGTGCTAAATTCATGATCACACATGAAGTTTATCTGCTTTATATCACAATGATAGTTGTATGAGCCTGCGAGAGGCTCTAATTTTTAAATGGTTCATACACTTTTTTAAAATGTCGATGCCTTTCATCTAAGCTGGATTTTGAAATATGAATCAAAAAAGTATATAGGGTAGATGTACCAGTCATGGCTACAGGTTCCTATTATGGTGTGTTCCAATTATTTATTTGTCATCAATCAAGTGTAGACCGTTTTGTTACAATGATAATCACATTTCATGTCTTATTTTTTTTTGTTCGTCTAGGTCGTTGAGCTTAATCTGTATTGTATATCAGTGTGCTGTTATACAAATAAAAAAATAAATAACTGCCAATCGAAACTGTTGTAATGCTCCATACACTAAATTACATTTCTTACGAATTATTTACTTCACTCTTAAAAATATTCTAACGTCTTTTTATTTTATTTTATATTTGCAGCTTGGAACACAGTGCCCTGTAACTTCCTGATCCAACCAATTGAAAGGTAAGCGGCCAACTAGTATAGATTTGAAAACTTCAGCTTGTTTATGATCGGATGTAACCAATTTCAGCCTAACTGTTTTAAATTTGACGAAAATAAATGAAGGAAAAAAAATAAAGTCTCACAGGGTGGTACCGTAAAGATGAATTTATACATTTTTGATGTTTTAGTGATGCGTTTATATTAATCTCTTTCGGATACCTTTCTCAAATCTGTTGTTTCAATGGAAAATTACTTAGTCACTTTTTTCACCGTTCCTGCTTGATACGGTATATGAATTTAAAAAAAATTGTTCCCGTAGAATGCACTGCACAAACCGGGAATTAACTGAGAATAGAAAACAACCAGGAAATAAACTGGAATTTGATTTAAAAATAAACCCATGAAGTGGCATATTTTGATGTTACAGATGTTTATATCCCGAGATCCTAACCATATAGGATGTTGCTTCCTTCTACAAAGATGGTCGGGATTACAAGGTTTCCAAAACTATGGATAGTTTATGACAAATTTTACTCACTAGATGCCGCTAAGATGATAATGATCGAGTTTCGCTTTGTTAAATATACATTATATAGCGCTATCTAAGGATCCTGCTTATATGGATGGTTTCCGTCTTGAGCAAAGTTGTCACGATGGGTAAGACCTATCCTGAGGTAATAAGTTCATTTCAGAATTCACTCACCAGGACAAACAATTAAAAATTTATGTCACACTAGCGCTGCCTGGTGAGTTCATTCTGAGCTAAACTGTTTATTAGAATTATCCATAGTTTTGAAAACCTTGTATTCTTGACCATATTTGCAGAAGAAAGCAACATCCTATATGGTTGGAATCTCGTGATATAAACATCTCTAACATCAATATATGGTACTTCATGGGTATGTTTTTACAATGACTCCTCCCCAGAGAGATCTGCCCCTTAAAAAAAATAATAATTTAACTGAAAGTCCACTTTGTAAAATATTTGATATCAGAAATCCATTGAAATTTCGTTAAAATACGATAATTTCATTTCAGGATTAAATTGACCCCAGGGTACAGGCAACGTAAGTATTTCAATAAAAAAATTCTAACAAATATTTTTTCAAGATTTTTGGATCTGATTTCATCTAGTAATATAGAGCTCCAGTGGACGCATCTAGTCACGAATGAATTATCAAAATCCATCGACAAATAAAAAAGCTACAGCCTTTGAAAGTGGCCTGGGGTCAAATTGACCCCAAGGTACAGACAAAGGGTTAACAAAAAAGTCCAACATTTTGATTATTTCTTCAAGCTCGGAATTCTTAAAATTTTCTTAGCACGAGACAACAAACATTATTTCTGAGATCTAGTAAAAGATATTGACAATCTGCAATGCAGTTTGAACAACTTTAGAAGCTTTAGAATTTTGAGAACTGTTTCAGAATCTAGGAAACTTTCCATTTCTTACCTCGGAATGCCAATACTTTGAGAAACCTCGGGTGAATGCCAAGAGCAGGAGAATCCTGAGGGTATTTCCTATATAATTCTAATAAGAAGTTCAAGAATATTCTGGGAAAACTTTAATGGAATTCTTATCAGAATTATCTAGGAAATACCCTCAGGATTCTCCTGCTCTTAGCATTCACCCGAGGTTTCCCAAAGTATTGGCATAGCATAGCATAGCATATGCGATTGTACAAATCTTGGGTGGCTATATAATGATGAACTATTACGTTTTGTAGAAAATATAATCCCACCAAGGTGGTCATTCTTTAAAACAGGCCTGATAGGACTAGGAACTTTAAATAATAGTTAAAAATTTCAAATAAACTAAAGTTGAAAAGGTGTATCTGTGTCACTTGATAATTCAAACATGCAAAACCACACAAATACAAGAAATAAAGATCAATTAAAAAAAAAGTTTTGTAGGAAATATCGAAAATAAATTACACGCAATTCCACACACACACATACAATCTACAACACAAGCATCGCATTATACACCTGGCCACATCCTTACGAGGTTTCTCATAGTATTGTCCCAAAATTAAATTGAAATTCACATCATAGTACCACGGGATTGTTTCTCAGAATTCTTCTCAAAATTCCCCAGAGAGAATCACTTACAATTTATTCGGATCTATTCTGAGAATTCTATTCCTGTAGAATTCTTCCCTGAATTCCCTTGGAACATTCTTCCGAATCATCTTAGAATGCTCCTGTTAGTGCAACACCTAGGCCATATTGGCACAGTATAAAGCGTGGCCGGTCTAAAAACTTGTTTAAATATTAGAAGTTTATTCTTCAGGCAAAGTATGGATTTCCTGTTTATGTATAGGACGATACATACATATTAAATATTTATTACATTTGGCTTGAATGCCCTCAATGTGATCTTTAAAAGTTAAATTTTGATCAATTACTAATCCAAGATATTTGACTTGACTTGATAAAGAAATTGGAACTCCGTTCATAGTGACTATTTGACTACTACAAGGTTTCAAAAAGGAAGCTCTAGGCTTATGTGGAAATAAGTTGAGTTTTGGAAGCGTTGGGAGAAATCTTCCATTTTTGTAAATAAGAAGTAGAAATCTTCTTTCCTTTATTTAACGTCGGTCTCTGTTCCGCAATCTAGTGCCAATCACCGACGGACATCGATTGCCATCCATTGATGGCAATCGAATGTGCAGGAAGGCAGCTTCCACACCTGCGTAGGATATCGCACCCATTCACAACATACATGGGCCGGGACCAACGGCTTTACTTCTTTTCCGAAGGAAGACGTGACCAGAGATTTTTATGCCTCAGAAAAATCTCACCGACCTCGGCTGGGGATTGAACCCAGACCCATTGGGGTGTTAGAAAGCAGTCACGCTTACCACTACACCACCGGCGCCGGCAAGAAGACGAAATATCTAAAAAAAAAAATCTTGTAGTCTACTGCAAATAACACGAAGACTTCTTCCTTTAGCGGAAATGCCTGTGTCATCAGCGAATAAAGATTTGTGGCAACCCTGAGGCAAATCAGGGAGATCCAAAGTGTAAATGTTATACAATATAGGCCCAAGAATGCTGCCATGAAGAACTCCTGCTTTACCTGCAGAGTTCTGTCAGTTAAATAATTTTTAACTAATTTCATAATGTATAGAGGATTTTCAATTTAGCAATCAAATCTTCATGCCAAACACTTTCGAATACTTTTTCTATGTCTAGAAGAGCAACTTCAGTTGAGCAGTCTTCAGATTTGTTTGAACATAATCCCTATAATAGTCTCTCCAGAACTATCTTAAGACCCTCCTTTACTTCTCATCACAATTTTCGTGGCATACTTCCCAAAATAACCTCAAATTCCTAGTTGAATGTCATTGGAATTTCCCCCAAAGTTCCTTTAGATGCAAGATTCTTACATATCTATGACTCTAAACTCATTTGGTATTCTCATCACAATCCTTAAATTTGATCCAACTCGAAGAGCAATGATTTTTTATCTAATATCTTTGAAATACCTTCCAAGCTCAATCTATGAATTCGGTCTAAGTGGCCTTCCAATAATGTACATGTAACATAGATATATTCAAAAATTTTGAGACTTTTAAGAATATTTGAAAAATTTAACTTTATTAAATTATATAACTTATGGAGTATAATTTCATAATTTGTTGCGATCTTTAAACTTAATAAACTTTCAAAATTCTGGAAATTTACTTTGTGTTATCGTTAGACAAGGATGAGCGAGAGGCTTTTTCTTCGGTTTTCAGCATTTAGATAAAGTGCCGTATTGTTCTTAAAAGTTAAATCCATATTACCATATTTATTAATTTCAGTGTTCACTCGGCTGTCGACAGAAGCACTCTCAATGTGTGTCACGCGATCGTCTGTTTACTCGCCAACAACCATTTTGTGGTCCTCCTCATTGTTCTTCCTCAGCAGTTCTTTCAGTCGATGCATCGTCGACTTTGGAAAGCAACCGTTTCGTGATGAATGTGTGAGTGCTGGCCACGTTTTGCGTCCATTGCTACAATGGGAGCGCTCTGACCCCCGTTGGCGAATCTGCCATACAATGAAATCACTGAAACCGTCTCCCGTTCTGATGGAGGAGGCTTATTGGATAGCGGAAGATAACATGTTTATTGTATTGTACCTTTTGACTATAGTTTTAAGATGTATTGTAGAGTGAACAAGAATCCTTGGCTCTGTAAAATTAATTCGGTTGAGCTTTATCAAATAAATTAATAAACAAAAAATATATATTTGTTAATTTATATGATTTCCACGTTGTGCACGCGACGCAACCCGGGAATTTAATTTCTTAAATTCAGTTCCGACTGGATGCAGGGCGTCTAAGTGAAGGGCCCTAAAAAGGGGGATCTTCCAAGAGTCCCTCTTTTTGGAAATTCCAAGAGTCCTTCTATTTGGTAATCATTGACCACGAAAAAGCTTTAGACCGACTCAATCACGAGAATCTAAAGAGCGGCGCCCTGAGACGCAAAAGAGTTCCGGGTAAAATCCTCATCCTTTGTGAAAAAAAAGAACTAACCGTCCTTCTACTCCGCTATGAAACAATACATCAAATGATACAATGTGCGCAGTATAAAAACCGTAAGGATTAAATCATTCATCATAACTGTCGCAAATGTCATCACACACGTTTTCCGTTGCGGCAATATGCACTCTCTTCGGTATTCGTAGCCAATAAAACCGGAAATAATATCCCGCGCCAGCACTAGGCCGGGACCCGAGTGCAACCGATAAAATCTCTTGTTTCGTTAATAATTCACTTCCGGCGATCAAACCCAGTCAGGCACCCCATTAGTACCGTTTATGACATATATAAACATCGTGTATGAAACAAAATATAGCCACACTGAACTGAACTCTATTGCGCCGTGTGCATTGCCACAACACAAGGATATACCATGACAGCACCATATCATATCCGTCCATCTGTGTACAGGCGGGAAGTGGTAACAAACCAAAAAAAAAAACAAGGAATAAAAAACATGTTGTACACCGAACAGACGGGCATAGGTCAAAAT